CCCCCGCTTTATCCTGTTCTCCTCACTCCTCTTCTAATGAGAACATGTCCTCGATAAATGACCTGAACAAGAATCCCCAGTTTAGGCTCTGCTTCTAGGGAGACGGACCTAAGACAGAGGCGGGGCACCCCTGAGGCAGTGCAGGTGGGTCTGGAAGAAGGGGGTTTCAAGGCAACCACCTGGGGAGTGCTGCAGTGACCCCTGCAAACACACAAATATGTGTGTTTGATCATTGCACTATTGAGCACCTGTCAATTATCAACGGAGAGGACAGGCCCCTCACTCGGGCCTGAGAATACTCCAGTGGCTCATGAATGGTGTCTGCTCTCACCTTGGAGATCGAAGGACAACTACCTCATTGAGAAGCCAGGTAGTTGCTGCATAGAGATGACCTGCCTCCAGATCACGGAGAGGCAAGGAGTGCATGATTGCAGATGGACCACTGTGGGCCAAGAAGAGAGCAGTGTGGGGTCTTCTCAGCCCGTAGGGCTGCCTGGAGTGGCACGGAGACCCCTGAGAAGCTCATTTAGAGGTGTGTCTGAGAGTGAGGAACGTGTCATCGTTGGCCACCAAGCATACAGATCAATCATCCCAGGTCAAGGGAGCTGCAAGAGCAAGGAACTCAACAAGAAACCTCTGATGAACCCACAAAACTCCCCCCTGGAAAAAGAACCACCTGCCGATCCCACCCAGGGATTCCAGCTTTTACTAACACCAGGTTCAGCCAAGGCACAAACAGTTTTCCTCTCTCCTTATTTCGACCACAGTGAGAGAAATCACAGGCACCACAAGTAAGCTGGGAGGCAGGGGAGGACAGAAGGACCACAACACCTTCCCCACGGCAGGCTCGTGAAACAGCCCAAGGGAGGAGGGGTGACAGTTCAACCCGATTCCAAGTTTGGGTTTTTTATTATTATGTGAGGCTGTGTGCATTAAATTTCAAAAATGAGACTCTTTGTAAAAACATATTTTCGCCCTAACGGGTTTGGCTCTGTGGATAGAGCATCGGCCTGTGGACTGAAAGGTCCCAGGTTCGATTCCGGTTAAGGGCATGTACCTTGGTTGCGGGCACATCCCCAGTGGGGGGTGTGCAGGAGGCAGCTGATCGATGTTTCTCTCTCATTGATGTTTCTGACTCTCTATCTCTCTCCCTTCCTCTCTGTAAAAAAATCAATAAAATATATATTTTTTAAAGTAATTAAAAAATATATTTTCATTGATTTCAGAGAGGAAGGAAAAGGGAGAGAGAATCATTGATTGGCTGCCTCATGCACACCCCCTACTGGGGTTGGAGCCCACAACCATGGCATATGCCTTTGAGTGGAATCGAACCCAGGACCCTTCAGTCCACAGGCTGAAGCTCTACACGCTGAGCCAAGCCAGTTAGGGCTAAAATGAGACCCTTTTACTACTAAATGTGGCTAACACTGAGAGTGACACAGACTTGATTCATGAATAAGAGAAGTTTATCTCCACTTAGTTGAGCTTAAAGTGATGGAGGGAGACAGAAATAATGTGTGGCTCCCCTCCCATGCATCATGCTTGTGCAACATCAGTTACATAAGCAGGGAGCGGCAGTGCTGCCCACAGCTTCCGGAGAGAAGCCCTGCACTGATTCAGTCAGCTGCACCTTCCGCCCGGCCCCAGGGATAAAAATGTCTGTTGGATAAGAATCTGAAACAAGTTCTGACACTTTTGGCTGGCCGAGTGCCAGGTGACTCAGAGCTGTGTAACGTACCTAAGGGAGTCGCAGCATGCCCCTCTGCGCTCCGGGGGAATCTGCCATCCCCCAGTGGTGGCGACTTCTTCCGGGGCCCACGTTGGAAATATGTGTTCGGTCACTGCACTATTGAGCACCTGTCAGGTACTGAAGATGAAAATGCAATGAAACGCAGCCCTAACTTACAACAATACGGTTTGCTCTGTCATCTCCCTTTAGTGCGGAGGAGGAGTGATCCCATCAGAGGTGATGATTAAAGTGAGGCTTGATCAGGAAGTGCTTAAATCAGGTGGATCACAATTTTGATGGAACATTGGTTCACCTGGGATGCTTTAAAAAAACAAACAAAACAAAACATGTTCAGCCCCAGCTAGTTTGGCTCACTGGATAGAGCGTCAGCCTGGGGACTAAGGAGTCCTGGGTTCGATTCCCGTTAAGGGCACATGCCTCCGTTGCAGGCTCGATCTCCAGTAGGGGAGTGTAGGAAGCAGCCAATCAATGATTCTCTCACCACTCATGTGCCTATCCCTCTCTCCTTCTCCCTTCCTCTCTGAAATCAGTAAAAATATCATGTTTCACCCTGGAGAGATTCTGATTTATTGGTCTGGGCTGCTGCCTGGGCATCAGAATATTTTTTAAACATCTCAGATAATTTTCATATGCAGTCAAGGTGGTGAACTATTGTAGATTATTATAACAAAACTAAGTGCCAAGGAACTAAGATGATAACTGTATTAAAATTTTATTTTCCTATAAATAGTCTTAGTAGAAATTTTTATTTTATGAAATGAAAACCAGTAATAAACATTTTAATGTATACATAAGCCTTTTGCATTTTTTTGTATTCCTAAGATATCCAATTGAGTAATAAAAATTACTAGCATATGTTATCCACCTGAGAACATTTTTTTTTCAATTATCATTAGATTTTCATTGTTCACTTTTCTATAAAATCTTTTTGTCAAGTGATCTTGGTTTTAAACTAGTCTATAAAAAAATTTCATATATTAAAATGTTTATTAAAATAATAAGAGACACCTGCTAATAAATAATAAGTAATCTCTTGATTTTTCTTAGCAACTTCATTATCCCTGATTCAATAACAAATACTGTCTTATAAAAATCAAATAATAGGGTGTATGATGCCAGAACATTGAGATTAATTCCTCAAGTCTCTTGCTTCTAGGTGTCTGTTACGGAAATAAAATATGCAAACATTTCAACAAGATTTTACACAGGTTTATGATATGTTTTTGTTTTAAAAACTTGTGTTAGAGCAAAAGGTAAAAATTTATTCAGTAGTAATTTTTGGGCCCATCATTCGTCATCTAACTTATTTTACACTCTGGAGGCAAATGTATAGTGTGAAATAGTATCAACTTCTTAACTCAGGTAATTTAAATAAATTGTTTTGTGTAGACACACACACACACACACACACACACACACACGCATGCATGTGGCAGCCACATGTAGGAGTGATTTTTGCTTCCATCAATGGAATTTAGAAGTGAGGATGGATAGGAAATGAACATAGATTTTTTTCCTTTTTATATCATTATGTACATTGTTTACAACCTATTTTTTAAAGTTTTCTACATCAAATTTTCTTCCTATCTTTTTAAAATATATTTTTTATTGATTTTTTACAGAGAGGAAGGGAGAGGGATAGAGAGCCAGAAACATCGATGAGAGAGAAACATCAATCAGCTGCCTCCTGCACACTCCCCACTGGGGATGTGCCCGCAACCAAGGTACATGCCCTTGACCGGAATCGAACCCGGGACCCTTGAGTCCGCAGGCCGACGCTCTATCCACTGAGCCAAACTGGTTCTGGCGTCTTCCTATCTTTTTAAAAAGTAATTTTTTCCTTTATATTTTTTTGTTCCCCAGCCTTTCCTCTGTTAATCACTCTGTATTCTCAGTTATAATAGGCCTGTACACCCACTTTGTTCACTGATTCATCTCTTAACCCACCATTTGTGATCTGACAATTAATTCTATTGTAGTCAACTGTCACACCACAGAAAATGGCTTTTAAAAGAAAGCTGATTTCTTTATTAACAGATTGAGTAGCTTACCTCATAACCCAACTTTCCTTTTTAAAAAGATTGTATCTTTATTGTTGAGAGTATTACACATGTTCCCCATTTTCCCTCCTTTTGCCCCCTCCACCCTACTCCCACCCCACCCCAGGCCTTCATCACACAAAGCTCTGTCAGTGGGCTATGCATATATGCATATTTGGTTAATCTCTTTCTGCCCGCCCTCCCTTCCCTCCGAGATTTAGTCTGTTCCATACTTCCATGTCTCTGGACCTATTTTGTTCATCAGTTTATCTTGTTCATTAGATTCCACATGTAAGTGAGATCATGTGATATTTAGCTCTCTTTGACTGCTTATTTTACTTAGCATATTAATCTCCTGGTCCCTCCATGCTGTCTCAAAGAGTAAGAGATCCCTCTTTTTCACAGCTGCATTGTATTCCATAGTGTAAATGTTCCACAGCTTTTTTTTTTTTTTTAATCCTCTCATCTACTGATGGGCACTTGGGCTGTTTTCAGATCTTAGCTATTGTAAATAACACTGCTATGAACATAGAGGTGCATATATTCTTTCTGATTGGTGTTTCGGGATGATCAACAGAGCAACTTCTTAGTGGATAATAAGAACCCAAACCGGTGTCTCCGGGCAGTCCCTCTTAACACTGTCCCACCTCCTCCTCTCACCCCACCTCCTCCTCTCAGCCCCTTTCACCAGGTGGCTGGGAACCTGCAATGAACCAAAGTAACAGGTTTAACTATTCAGAGATTGGAGAATCTGCGTCATAAACTGTTCCTCTGCTTTCAACAGTACTTAATTTTTATATTCAGTCCTGTCTTCTATTTTGCCTTCTCCTTTTTGCTCTCATTGTTTTGCTCTTCTATGTATATATTTTTTTCTTTTCCTCTTTCTGTTTCCATTCTTCTCCTGTACTCATCTATGTCCCTGGCCAGGGATCCCTAGGCATTGTTGATTGTCACCAGTACTCTACAGGACAAACCTACTGTCCTCTGAGAGCCACTACCCCAGTCAGTTCTCTCTCGGCTCAGAACAATGGAGGGCTGTGACAATTAAAGAGGTAAGTCCTGAAAGTCACAGGGGTGCCAGCTGGGAGTTATATTCTAGTGAATGTGCCCTGAAGGGCTGCAGTGGATATTCTTTACAGCGGTTTGTAAATAAGTTCCAACAATAATATCCCAAAAAGTTTGGGGCATTGGTTATAAAGGATGGAGCCTCTCAAGGTGACATCTTTGAAACAGACAACACTCCTTTGGATGTGTGTCAGAACAAAAATACTGTATGGAGGATCCCTGTCATTCCCCTTTTTCCGTGTACTGAAAAGAATTCTGATTTGATCAATATGGCTTTCTGCCCTTCCTGCCAGTTGGGAGATAAGGGGAGAGAGGGCAGAGAAACAGAAGCCCAGTAGGTTTTCCTGGGAGTTTGCTAAGATGAAATCCTAACCCCCAAAGGTGATAGCATTGGTAGGTGGGGCCTTTGGAAGATGCTTACGTCATGAAGGAGCCCTCATGGATGGGAGTAGTGCCTAATAAGAGAAACCCACAGAGATCCCTAGCCCCTGCCACCAGGTGAGGACATAGCGAGAAGGCGCCAGCTATGAACCAGGAAGAGGGCCTTCACCAGAAGGCAACCCTGCTGGTGCCTTGACCATGGACTTCCCAGCCTCCAGAGCTGTGAGAAATAAATTTATGTTTGTAAGCCACTCAGTCAGTGATATTTTGTTATAGACTAGGACAGAAATGGACTAAGACAAGAGCTCTCAAAAACCACCTCGCCCCAACCCTCCAACCCTGTTTCAGTGATTCACTAGGTAGGAGGATGCTCTGGACTCAGGATACAGTCTTACTCATGGCTACGACCTATTGCTGTAAAGAGATACAAAGCATAATCAGCAAAGGGAATAGGAACATGGGGTAAAGTCTGGAGGAAACGAGGTACAAACTTCCAAGAGTCCTAAATCACATAGAGGTGCTTAATTCTTCCAGCAGCTTGTGATGTGGGCAACAGAAGCTACCAGGAAAGCACGTTGGAGACCCAGGGCCTGGGTTTACTGGGGGCTGGTCTTGGCACAATCTGCCAAGCAAATACCAAAAACTCCTGACTCCCAAAAGGAAAACAGGTGTTCAGCATAAGCCACATTGTTTTACAAACAGTTTAGGCCCAACGAGCCACGCTTACTTTAGGGAATAGTGGGAACCCTCTCAAAATTTAAGTTCCCAGACACCAGCCAAGAGCGAGCTTGCAATCAAGCCTTTCTGATGATAGCAGTCTCAGGCTTGCTACAACTCCTTTCTGCACACGAGGCATGTTTTTATGCCCACTTTATATGTATATGTGGAAAGGAGGCTTAGAGATGTCAACTAATAGTTACTTAGCAAATAGTGGAATTCGGATAAAAACCCAGCTCTCTGACTCCCAAGCCGGTGCATTAGCCTGTGAATTACAAAATGCTGAAAGTTTATTTTAAAAAATTGAGAGGGACTTTTGTTCCAGCATAATAGGTAGGTAAGAGTTCAGAACACACCACCCCCAAATATGCTGCTAGGCATATCAATTATTTCGAGTTAAAGGTACTTTAAAAACAGCAGATAGCAGAAGGGCACTCTGACCTTCCTTTATTTTCCAAAAGCATAATTTCACAAATTACCATGTGAAAGGTGCCCTCCCTGTGCCAGGAGGAGGAAACATCTTGTCACTAGAGTCGGTGTTGAGGGGGAGAGAAATCTGTACAGACTCTTGGCTTCCTTTAGCCTCTCCTCACGTATTTAATTAGTTAATTAATTTACTTACTTAGAAATTGACATATCATGATGAAGATCCCTCTAGCTTTAGGAAGTAAGAAATGCTTATGTTTTTTATTAGTGAGATTCGCCACAAATGGATTTGATTAACGCACTCATTTATCCTTTGAGTATCTTTACGGGAAAGAGAGTAGGGTTGACTGGAGGCCATTAATGTTGATAAGTTAGAAGCACATATTTCTGTTTTCATAGTTTATTGAAAAATTTTTTCCTTCTTTTTAAAAAAATCAAAAATATGGTTATTTTGCATAAAAATTTATTTATGTTGTCCTAGCCAGTTTGGCTCAGTGAATAGAGCATTGGCCTGCAGACTGAAGGGTCCCAGGTTTGATTACGGCAACCCACATGCCTGGGTTTCGGGCTCAATCCCCAGTAGGGGGCGTGCAGGAGGCAGCCAATCAATGATTCTCTTCATCATTGATGTTTCTATCTCTCCCTCTTCCTTCCTCTCTGAAATCAACAAAAATATATATATTAAAAAGAATACTTTACTTTAAAACATTTATTTATGTTAACATGTAATAAATTCATCATTATTAATGTGATTTAATAAAGAAACCTTTTTAAAATTCTTAGTTTAATTTCTAATACAGTAAAACTTGTATTTTAGCAACTTTTCCATGTATATACCCAATATATAAACACTTAGTTACTTCTTTGAGTCTTACTTTTTTTTCTTTCTTATTAATTTACCTTTATTGTTGAAAGTAGTACAAATGTCCCCCTTTTTTGTCCCATTGACCCACTTCATCCCACTCCTACCTGGATCTTCCTTTTTCTCGTGAGGGTTCCTATGTACATGTAAATAAAATTTGTATGCTTTCTCTTGTTAAATCTGCCTTATGTCAATCCCAGCCAGAAACCCTAAGAGGGGAGAGGAAAAATTTACCTCCCCTACAGTACATTCAGAGAAGTGCTATATGTATTTTTAGAATCATTGCTGTAACCTCTTTTTAACTTAGGCTTGGGCAGCTTAGGAAATGCAAAGTCACATCTAAAGAATGCAGGAAACTTTGTCATGTATGATGAAAAAAAAATACAGAAACCAGCATGGCATCAGTGTGAATCCTTAGAAAATATCTAAAAATTACAAGAGATCGTGGAGCCTTGATTTATCCCAGATCCTGGAGGTAATAGACAAGGTTCACACAGGAGAACAGAGGCAATTCTATGTGTTTCAAGCAGAAAGAAATTAACACAGGAAATTCTTAGTTTGGCACCTACTGTAACTCTCCCCTCTCATGCTCTGGGGCCCCATTGACAACACATCCTTAAGGTGATGCCGTTTCCCATGCTTGGGAGAATAGCTCTAATTTCTCTGATTCTCTCTCTCCAGTTTGGTTTTGCTGCCAATCAAGGACAACCTGTATGAGAAAGCCATCACTTCTACGCAGACATTCCTCCAAGAGAAACGCCAAGGTGACTATAGGTTCTTCCTCTCCCCTCTCATCCCCACCTGTGAATTCTGGTCAGAATGGTATGTATTTTGATGGAGGAAAAAAAAAGAATTCTAGCAGAATTACGAGCAGTATTCCTTCCCCCCACCCCCCAAGTTTTGTCTGCTAAATGTTAGTCTGGAGTCTGGAAAAGAGAATAAAACAAAGGACAAGATGAGACGCACAGAGTGCAGCAACACCTCCTTGTTTTCAAGTCACAGATGAAAATCAACAACAAAACCTGTCTGACAAAAGAGTTCTTGCAGACTCGAAAGGATGCGCTGGATTCACTCCATGCTGCTAACAGCTTCACAAGATGATGCTTCTCTTCTTAGTCACAGTCAACAAAGGAGGGTGCAGGAACCATTTTTTCTAGTCCTGAGCTTCTCTCCTCCTCTTCTTGCTGTCATCTTTTGTTCACTTTTAGGGCCACAATAGTTTAAATCCCCCACAGTTTCTGTGTGTAGGAAATAAAACTCCCCCACATAAAATAAAGTGACACAAAATTGAACAAGGAAAGAAAGTAAAAAATGGTAAGATTCCAATTCGGGGTTGTCTGTGAATTTCATATATTTCTTAACATGTAAAAACTATATGTCAACATTAACTAAATATTTACATAATCCCTGTCTCCTAAGGCCACATTCAGGAGTGGATGGGTGATATTCACAGCAATCTCCAAACCCTTTCTTTAAGCTGCCTCTGTTTCCTCCCAAGGGAATGTTCAAGTCCTAACCCCCAATATCTATGAGTGTGACTTTATCTGAAAAAAGGCTCTTTACAAATGTAATTAATCATTATGAATCTCAAGAGGAGATCACCCTAGATTTAGGGTGGACCCTAAACTCAATGACATGTCCTTACAAGAGACAGAAATGGAGAAGACATGTGAGGAAGAATGTGAAGATGGAGACTGAGATTGACAATGAGACAGAAAAAGCTAGGTAGATAGGAGCGGGACTTTGGGAAGGGAAAGTAAAACCCAACAACCCAACTAGGTGAAGATACTAAAGACACCCCAACTGGGTGGGGAAGGAAGGGTGTGCAAGAGAGAGACATGAACTTTAAAATGTATGGATGTCACTGAGACAGGCGGCATGCAGGTAACCAATCACAAGGCAGAGAGGCAAGCATATATACAAAATCACGCGCTTCCTTCTCTTCTCTCCCAGTGCAGCACACAATGGATACCTGACATTCCTCACAACCCCCGATGCCCACGTGGCTTGTGGCCACATGGGCCTCCACACAAGGACTAATAGACTTTAATGATCTTGGATGCTGAACTACTCATGATTGTAACATGAAAAAGAAGCTCTGGACACTGGGTTACTCCTGAGCCCCAGCTACACCCTTTCCAGGGCTGGCTTTTCTCAATAAACCTGGGTTCCATTCATCGTTTTTTGTCCCCGACTTTATTCTTCCATTTTCGCAAGACAACAAACTGGGACTCACCATCATGGGCCTACAAGCCAGGGAATGCCAAGGATCACTGGCAGCCACCAGAAGCTAGGGGAGGGGTGCAATCGATTCTCATTCAGAACCTCCACTGGAACCAACTCACCCACATCTTGATTTTGGCTTCCTGGCCTCCGAATGCAGGAGAGAACACACTTCTGTTGCTTAAGTCACCCAGTTTGCAATAATTTGTCACAGCAGCCCTAAGGAACTAATATCCTTGCTAATTCTTAGTATTTCTCATTGCTTACTGTCTACACCCAGTGCTGTTCATTATAACAGGGGTGGGCCGGGTTTCTTCTGTAAAGGGCAAAACAGTAAATATGTTAGGCTTTATGAGCCACACGTTCTCTGTCACAACTACTAAGCTGTGCCATTGCCGTGCAAAAGTAGCCGTAGACAATATGTAAATGAATGGACATGACTGCGTGCCAATAATACTTTATTTACAAAAGCAGATAGCGGCCAGATTTGACCCGTGGGCCAGAGTTTGCTGACCCCCTGCACTATGATGCTCTCCCCTGAGATCCTGGTGCCCCATATCTTGGCAGTCCTCCCAGAGGCCTCGCAGCACCCTGAAGCACTAGCAGGTCTTCCGTGAGAAAAGACTTCATATGGCTTCTTTTGATTTTCCAAATTCTCTGATATAGACTTGCTTTTAGTGCCCACTATCACCACTGGTTATTTTACAACACAATTCTGACCCAATTTATTTCCACTTCTTAGTTTTAAAAAATTCCAGTCATGAAATATTGTTTTCCTTTTCTTCTTACATGACCGAGCCATTTTCATGGTCAATTAGCGGTGGAGGCATCTGTGACTGTCGTTTATGTTGACTGGTGGGCGGCTGCAGACTGCTTCAGAGTGTGTGGGTGGCCGCAGACTCCTGGGGGCAGCAGCCTTTCAGCCATACAGCTTACTGAGTGGAGGAGAGAACAAGAGCAGAAGAGGCTGCTTCTTGCACATAACTTTTATTTTGAGATCAAGCACAATAGGAGAGGGGAGGGGAAAGAGACAGAGAGAGAGCACTACTGATTCTTCCAAAACAATAGATGATTATTTGGAGGCAGGGAATAGAAGCTCAGGGAGAAGAAGGCAAACAAACAAATCAGAATCAGTTACTCAGTCTGCATAGGACTGTGGAACTTTACAGCACAAACGTCAAAGTGAGAGAAGAAGCTTTATTTGGACTCAGAAATATTCAAGGTTAAGAATGGAAAGGAAACCAAAACTTTCACAAAAAATCTGAGATAAATGGGCTCTGATATAGACCATTTGTCCTCGCTTCTCTTGTCTACGTTAGCCCCTAGTTAGCTTCTGATGACTGCTATAACAAACTAGAGGCCAGGTGCACAAAATTCGTGCACGAGGGAGGAGGGATCCCTCAGCCCGGCCTACACCCTCTCCAATCCGGGACCCCTTGGGGGATGTCTGACTGCTGGTTTAGGCCCGATCCCTGTGGGCCTAAACCCGTAGTCGGACACCCCCCTCACAATCCGGGACAACTGGCTCCTAATCGCTCACTTGCCTGCCTGCCTGATCACCCCTAACCACTCTGTCTACCTGCCTGATGCCCCTAACTGCTCCCTTGCTGGCCTGATTGCCCCTAATGGCTCTCCCTTGCCAGCCTGATCATCGCCCCTAGCCTCTGGCTCAGCCCCCACCACTGTGGCTTTGTCCAGAAGGACGTCTGGTCTATCCAGTCTATCTGGTCTAATTAGCATATTACTCTTTTATTAGTATAGATTACCACAAACTTGGTGATTTAAAGCCACAGGCATTTATTCTCACAGTTCTGGAGGCCAGAAGTCTGAAATGAATGTCCGGGCTGAGATTAAGGTGTCAGCGGGGCTGTGCTTCCTCAGGAGGCTCTACGAGAGAGTCCACTACTTCCCTCTTTCAGCTCTGGTGGTTGCTTGTGTTCCTTGACTTGTGGCCACATCACTGCAACCTCTGTCTCCTCTTCTAGCTGCCTCCCTCTTCTGTCTGTGTCAAATCTCCCTCTGCCTCCCTCCTAGAAGGATCTACTGATGGCCCCTAAGGCCCATCCAGATAATCCAGGATTATCCCCATCTCAAAATCCTTTTTTTAAAAAATTAATATGTTTTTATTGATTTCAGAGAGGAAGAGAGAGGGAGAGATAGAAACACCAATGCTGAGAATCACTGATTGGCTGTCTTTTGCACACCCCTAATGGGGATTGAGCCCGCAACCTAGGCATGTAACCTTGACAGTAATCGAACCCGGGACCCTTCAGTCCATAGGCCAAAGCTCTATCCACTGAGCCAAACCAGCTAGGGCCCATCTCAAAATTCTTAATCACATTTGCAAGGATCCTCTTTTGCCCATATAAGGTTCCAGGGTCCAGGGATTGGGATATGGATATCCTTTAGGGACCCCTTTCAGCATACTACAGTGCCCAAACTTGACTCCCAACAACACAGAAAAGCATTTCTTTGATTCTTTCAATCACAGACATTTCAGCCTCTCCTCATACACTGGCTCCCAGATCCACATGGTTGGCCTTCTCTTTAATCTGGCTTTGCAATAGAGAGCGATTAAGAAAAAGACTTAAAAAATACAAAAGGTGGATCATGTTTTAAATAGGCAGAAACCCAGGGAAGTTTTCTACAATGAGCATTTTTCTAAGGAAAAAAAAATTCTAAATATGGACACAGGAGAACCTGGACTCTAGGGATGGGACCCATTGTACTGATGCATACCCACCCACTTCCTCTCGATTTAAACATACTTACAAAGTCGCACAAAACCAGGAAGCATTTTAAACAGCTCCTGGGACATTTCCACCTGAATATCCTGCCACATGTACCTCAAATGCATGACTACCAACACAGGACACAATACCTCCCGCTACCAGCATGTTCTTCCATATTCATTGTTACAGCTTGAGAGCAGCTGTGTTAACCTGAGATGGATGAGCTTTGGAACTCAAAGCCCCATGAACTGTATGCAAACCTTTGGATGTACGTGCATTGGTGCCTTTTTCAGGAGAGAATTCCATAATCTCCATCAGATTCTCCATGGAATCTTTAACCTCAAGGGGGAGGTAAAAGTCTGGCTTGGCTTTGCGTGGCACTCAGTCACGGCCGCATAAATATGTGCTGCGTGCCTGTGCATTCTCAGTAGAGAATACCCATTGCTTTGTTTTGCATGCATTTTTGTGTTGTCATAAATTTGCTGGCTAGCTGGTTGGGGATTCTCATTTAGTGAGTCACGATAAAACAAATTCTTCCACCACCCCCTACGTTGGGTTATATGTCCAGGATCAAGTATAAAAGTAAGGCTTTGCCCTGACAGATTTGGCTCAGTGGATAGACCTTCCGCCTGCAGACTGAAGGGTCCGGGGTTCGATTCCAGTCAAGGGCATAAAGGAAAAAAAAAAGTAAGGCTTTGACCTCTTTGAAGAGAAGAAGTTCGCCCTTAAGAACGAGAAAGCGAGGGGCCATAGTGATTGCTTTTTTCGCCTCCAAGGATTATTTTGATATGCTAACCTACACCTAAATGACCTTCACATTCATAAAATGTTTACCTCTGCCTCCTCCAACTTTGCTGAGAGCTTCATTCTTTAGGTCTCAAATTAAACATTCCTTCCCTCAGGGGAGACTTCCCCAGTCAACACCCTGGGAAAAGACCATAGACTCAAGTTGTGAAATATGGGGTCTCGCTGCTTACTGAATATTTATGCAGGAAAGGGAACTGACTACCTGCTGGGAATGAGACTGTAATTTTAGTCTTAACTCTGGGAATAATCCAAGGTTTCCCTGCAACCCCATCCCTTCCTGAAATCGCTCTGGAATCCATAGGGATGGTCGGGCTTGTGCTCAGCAGCAAACAAACGTCAATAGTTATGACACTGGAAAAGATTTAAATGGACATTTGAAAACAAGGAGAGTTACAGTGCTCCTTCGGAAAACCAAGGAAGATGGAGGAGACTATTGAAAACAGCTGTGATGAATGTTCAAGGGAATAAAACATCAGAGACTTTTTTTCGTTGAATTTTTAATTTTTAGAAAATATAACAAAATTCTATTGATTTTTGAGGAGCTTACTTTCCCTTTAGAAAACATTCCTTTTTAAAAAATGTTTTTCATTGATTTAGAGAAGAAGGGAGAGGGGGAGAGAGAAACATCCACTCACTGCCTCCTGCACGCCCCCTACTGTGCCCTGACCAGGATTAGGCAACCTTTCGGTGCATGGGATGATGCTCAACCAAATGAGCCACACTGGCCATGGCTAGAAAATGTTCTTATATCAGTCCATATTTTTTGTTTGTGGCAGTATCACAATTACAATTAAGGAATACATTTATATAAGTTTATATTTAATGACTTTCTTTTGTGTGTTTTTTAAAATAGTTTTACAGATATCTCCCATTTTCACCCCCTCCTCTCAGCCCTTCCCACCCCCTCCCCCCAGGTCTTCACCACCCTATTGCCCGTGTCCATGGGCTATGCATATAACTATATAAGTTCTTTGGTTTATCTCTTCTTTTCCCCCAACCCCACATTGAGGTATGTCAGTCTGTTCCATGCCTCTATGCTTTGGGTCTTATTTTGTTGGTCAATTCATTTTGTTCATTAGATTCCACAAATAAGTGAGATCATGTGACATTTGTCTTTCTCAGTTTGGCTTATTTCACTGAGCATAATATTTTCCAGGTCCATTCACACTGTCCCAAAGAGTAAGAGATCCCTCTTTTTTACTGCTGCATAGTATTCCATAGTGTAAATGTCCCACAGCTTTTTTTTTTAATCCTCACCTGAGGATATTTTCCATTGATTTTTAGAGAGAGTGGAAGAGAGAGGGAAAGACAGAGAGAAATATCAATGTTAGAGCAGCACATTGATTGGTTGCCTCCTGCATGAGCTT